TCTTCCTCATTTCGTGCCTCGAGTAATTATTAATCCTGACTCGGAGCAGAGGTACTGGCTATATCACTGTGGTGCTTCGGATAAATCGGGACGAAATGGCGTAACTATTGTCATATCTGACAAGGCCCATTCCGCTTTGATTGAGTGGAAACCGGTAAACGACCGTATGGCCTATGCCCGTTTTAAGGGTAAGTTCTGCAATATCTCGGTCATCAGTGTCTATGCTCCAATGCTGTCGGCAGATGACCGTGATAAAGACAAGTTCTATGCGCAATTTCAATTGCTAACAAAATCTCTATGATACTGTCATAGTCGGGGGAGACTAGAATGCATGCGTGGGTCATAATGTTGCTGCGATGACCTCTAAAATTGGCAAATATAGCATCGGAGACCGGTGCGCCAATGGGAAATGTCGTTATGCCGAAGAGTATGAATTTTTTATTTCTAATATTTGCTTCCGGCATCGTAGAAAACATTTAGTCACGTAGAATTTCCTGGATAACCGACACTTCAACCAGACTGCTTACATCTTAATCACTCGCTTTTGGAAGAGTTCCGTACTAGAAAGTCTATAGCGTTCCTATAGCGGAACGAGCAATCTTCATGGCTCTGATTATGTTATGGTTCGAGCCAAGATCCGCATAAAATTAACAACTCGTAAAAAACCGCATCTCCCAAGATCCTTCAACTATTTCAAACTATCTAAAGAATTCGGGAATAGTAAGCGCATATCAAACCGAATTATTGAAGCATCTCAATGGTACAAATATCAAACTTTTCTGGAACGGCAAATGAACACTGGTCCAAACTAAAGGAATGTCTCCGAAAGTCAGCCACTTCTACGCTAGAGCATACTAGTAGGACGTTTGCTAGTTGGGTATCTGAAGCAACTGTCCGACTGTCTAAAAAAGCTGCCAAAGCACAAATATCAAGTGATCTTGACTACTGGATGTTTCGAAGATTTCCAACGAAAGCAGCACGGCGGGACAGAAATTATTATTGGAGTGACATGGCCTCAAGAATGGAGGCGATGGCTCGATTAAGCGATAATAGAAAATTATTTCTTCATAAAACAGCTATAATTCGGGGAACAACCAGTGAAATGGTAAGGTATAGCAATGGCGTGCCAGTCAAGAATATTAAGGACCGCCTCATATGATGGAAAGAATTCTTTTAGGCCGAATTTAACCATGAAGCACCTTCTGTTATCCCTGATATGACTGATACGTTCGCTGAACCATATACTTGCAACTGCGAGCCCTCGACAGAAGAAGAAATATCCATAAGCTTAAGGCCAATAAGGCTCCAGGAGAAGATGGTCTTCGGGCTAACGTTTTCAAAACCCTATTGTCCATCGTCCTTTATAACGCGCCTTCAATAAATGAACTCTATGGTGTAGGAAAAAGAAATATTACCAGATGATTGGAGCAAAGCAATTCTCAACTCTCAACTCGCAATTGTGAAGAAAGATGATAGGACATACTTCGACAATTATCGAGGAATCAGCCTACTAGACGTTTCAGCTGAAATTTTTGCTTCCCTTTAACCCAACAGGCTTATGTGAGTACGAGACAGCAGGATGAGCCCTAATCAAGCTGGATTCAAACCGCGGTTGTGCTGACCAGATATTCACGCTAAGGATGGTGTTGGAACATCGCATCAGATATTTGCAACCCACTGTCACGTGTTTCACCGACTTTGCGGCTGCCTTTGATTCAATTAATAGAAAGGCGCTTTGGAGAGTGATGGAACGCGACGGCGTCCCATTCCAGAGAAAATCATTCGACTCATAAAGGCATTTTATGAGCGTACGTCAGCAAGTGGGAGCTATGTATATGAGAGTCCTTCCAAATAAGAATTGATCCGTCAAAGCTGCTCCTTTCCCTTACAGTATTCAACTATATGATAGAATGGATAATGGACATCACTTGTCGGCACTCAAGGGGTATCAAAATCAGTCCAGAGCATCGTATCACAGAACTTAGATACGAGGATGATGTAGTCCTTTTTGCTGACAGTTATGACAAAATGCAAGTAACGCTAAATAACGTGTCAGCAAATACAGTGAGAATCGGTCTCAGGGTCAATATAAATAAAACGAAAGTGTTTTCGTCTTATGTAGAAGCTGATAAAATGTAAATTTTTATTTTTTATAAATTCTTTTATAAATTCATAGCCGGTTGAGGAAGTGCCCAATTTTAAATACCTTGGGTCCACTCTAATACCAAATAGCCAGGCAAAAAACGATATTACAACCCGCATCACGGCAGCTAGAAATGCGTTCTTCCGGTTGACGAAATCCTTTAAGGAGCCGTCATGAAATTACCATTAAAACAAAAGTCCGCATCTATATAGCCGTGATTCGTTCGATCTTGCTATATGGTTTTGAGACATGGTCAATGAGAGTGAAGGATATTAAGAAGCTTCTGCCTTTGACCACTCTTGTCTAAAGTACATTTTACGGGTGCGTGGAGGGAATAAAATATCATATGGTTACATCCATCTTCGTTCAAATACCACTTACATAAATAATGTTATCACAGAGCGTCGCTTTCGATGGTTAGGGCATATCCTCCACAGAATCGAACATGAGTTGTCGCATATTTCGTTGCTTGCTAAACCGTGTGATGGATGGCTTCAAAAGCGAGATAGACCAATCAAGACATGGGCTGGACTGATATGGTAAGGAAAGATTTTGACGTATAGATGCACGAGCAATGGATTTAGACGATGGAAAAAAGAGTGGCTTCTATTGCTGTCGGCGATGGCATCAGACCGCTCCGTTTGAGCAAGTAATAGTGAGAGCTGTTAGAAGAAGAAGAAATAACTTCGCTTTCTAAGAAATAAGGAGATTAGAATTTTCTTGCAACTTGTCATAAGCCGGTGAAAAGTTGACATTGTACTGAAGATATAAGTTATTGTATAATATGCAACCATTTTAGTGCACATAGATTTTTCCTTGCAAGAAGTATTATAGTTGCAAGAAGTATTAAATTAAAGGAGAATTTGCAATCTAAAATTTCATTCGAAAAAATGCACTCATTAAATTTTGGAATTGCATATTCGTCAAAAGTACTCAGTGATATTTTTAGCTTTCCTCGCTTCCTATCTAGAAGTTTAATTGTATCAGAACGTGGAGATCTTGGAATAGTATTGAGTAATTTTAAACTGAATAGCAATGTACAAGACCATTCTTAAAGCCATCTCATCTGCTATATTGTTTTAATATATCACTATAATTTATGCTATTTTTGCAGTTTTATTCAAAAAATATTTCTCTGATAATTGCCAAATACATGTTTATATACAAAAAAACCAGCGGACGATCATTGAAAAATTTCTTTTGTACATATAAAAATTATCTCATTTAAAAATTTTCTCGAAAATCTCGTCTCGTAAATTTTCAAAAAAATACATTTTTTTGAAGAGCTGTTTTTATTTAGCTCGCTCTATTATCGAGCCAGGCGAATTTTTCCAGGAACTCACTTGATGATAACATATGGACACCACCAGAAAAAACAGTTTTGCTTATGTATTCCAAAATGAGAGCAATCAACTCAACCATTTTGCCTTTTTTCATTGATCCTTTGGTATTTTAAGAATTCATAAATTGCTACCTATCTCTTCAAAATTGAAATGCTTAGAATCAAGAGAAAGAGGAAACGAGCGTGTTAATAAAAATTTCATTAATTCCAATTTTACAGAATTCTGGTTTTAAAGGATAAACAAATAAAAATGAAATTGTTCTATTGAATAGCTTGTTTTTCTAAAAATTTAGGTTCTACGGAATAAAAAATTAAATCTTAAAAACTTTCTTTGCATAAGGGCTCAATAAATTAAAAAAAGGATTTTCTCCATGAATTGGAATAGAATATTCAATTCAGCAAGTCCATTAAAAAAATTTAAGTTGAAAAGCTTTTAAAATATTTGGATATAACAGACGATTAAGTATTCATCGTTTCAAAGGTCAGGATAATCGCGTGGATCAAGATTTATCGTCTTGAGAAACAAGAGTTAGGATTTTGCTATGGACAAGAGTAAAACTCATTAAAGAATGCAGATGATGCGACTTACCTATGCTATTTTTATCTCCTGGCAAAATTTCCAACAGCAAACTAATAGCCAACATACTAGTAGCCCAGCAAGGAGTATTGAACGATAATCGCTTGTTTAATTATTTCTTGAATGCATTTGCCACATTTGATGATTTCAGCTATTTAACGAATATTTTCAGTCTATTTCAAAATGATATTTTCAATGCTTCTCTTAAATTTTAAATTTGTGAAAATTATTTCTGCAATATCCAATTTAATGAAATTATTATGGCTTAGTAAAAACTCAGAATATTTCGAATGCCTTTACTAACCATAAAATGATAACATTTCAAACAATGGAAATTATGTAATTTTCTTACAATTTAATTCAACACAATTCAACTTGCTCAACTTTCATTTGCAAATTTCAAGTTCATAATTTATAAAAAAATTCCACAAATCGATTTATTTTAAAATTTTATTGAATTGGAAAGAATTTCAAAAAATTAAGTGAAAAATAAAATCACCATAGTAATTTGAACAACAAAAGAAAAGTTTATTTTAAAATAAAATTTTTGCTTTGAGAAATCCATTCATCCATGCAAATAATGCTTTCTTGGACGCTTTCTAATTCAAATAATGAATTGATAATTTCAGATTCACAAATTTGGTAAGGAAAAAATTTGATAGAATAAATTTGATAGAATAAACTATTATCGTATAATTCAAAAAAATTCTTCAATGAAAGAAAACTACCATTTTTGCAATACATTCTGCTCGAAAAAAATTGATTCTTGTTATTATTCAAATTTGGTCGCATTAGTTGAATTTTTTTGATACATTGGCCAGGCAAAATTTTTTTACGAAGATGTGAAATTTTATTATTCATTAAATCATTTCCACTGACTTCGTGTTTGCTTCGTTTTTATTTTTTTTTCTTTGCTTCATGGTGCAAGTGAACAAGGATTATGGTCGATGGCAGTACGAATTAATAACTTGCAAGGGACTGTCCACCACATGAATGATTCCATTTTTAGCAATTACGTCACCGTCCTGTTAAAAAATTGTTTTAATTGATTGATTACTTTAAGGTTGCTGAAAAGTTGACTTTAAAATGGAAAAAGTAGCATTTCGATTAAAGATCAGTCCTCAGAATAAAAATCTTGCGATAATTTCTATAAAAAAAATTATACGATGAAAAAGAGCAATTCAATTAAGATCAGAGCTGTTCATTGAAAAATTGGCCTAAATTGAATTTTGTAATAAAATTGTAATAAATTTTAATGGTGAGGTTTTCCACTGGTTCTTAATTTAAACTAACCTAAAAATGTGAAGAGGGAAAGTAAGAGCTATAAAAAATAGAGACAAAATTCCAAAAATAAATATAGTAGAAAGAACCATAGAAAGAACCACTTGTGCTTCTTCCCAAAGCTTGGCTTCTTTAAAAGGGAAGCTAGCCAAATCAAAAATGATGTGGACTGATAGAAGAAATTTAAATTAAAAACTGGAAATTGTTTGAGACTGTTATTTTAGCAGTGTAGATATTACGAATTCAACAAATTTTAAATCACCTGTATAATGCTATTGCCAATAGCAGTGTTACCATTGATTTCCCTAACATTATAATAGCAATCATCAATATTTTTTACAATTTTCGATACTGTACTGCCATTCGCCATAGAATTTAGATTTTTCGAGCAAATAAAATCTTTAGATGAAAAGTAATTAAGAAAAAACTCTTAAAAATGTCCATAAATTTAGCGAAAAAAAGAGAAAATTTTTTTTTCATACTTTTAAAAGTAATTTTGAAAATTTTGAAAATTTAAATAACTTTCGCAAAGGAAATATTTTCATTCATTTTTTTCAAAAAAAATTATCTTATCCGTCAAAAAAAACGAGATTTCGAATTGAATAAGAAAACCTTTTAAAATATGGCTTCGAACAAATTCATGAGCAAAAGTGTTATTTCCTGTCAATACTTTCACAAGATTAGCTGATAAAGCATCATTTGACGGAAGTAAAATCATATAAATTTTTTGTTCATCAGCCAATAATTCAGTTAAAGAGCTATTTTTTAGAAGATTTGAAAATGTAGAAAATTCTTTACGATCATTTATAATTTCCAGTAAATTTTTCGTAACAATTGGTAATGGCTGCAATCACTGTTTCATTCTACTCAATGTAAATCAAATTCTGGTTCTAGACTGGCTCTATTAGCTGTAGCAAAAAATTTTTGGCAGAAAGTCAATTGGAGATAATTGTATAGATGAAAGGTAATTCCGTTTGTCAGCAGGGCATTCACTCACTCTCGAGACGGTAACCTGAACGGCAGACACTCGGCTATCTTACCTCTCTAATTCGGTAAAAAAAACGTGAAAAAAAACTACCTCCGAAATGAAATATATTATAGTCTCACATAATTGAATTGGAGTTTTCGTTATATGTGCACATCCAAAAATTGAATTAGTTCCCGCAATAACTGAAGGTATCTGAAGTCAGCGATATTTGCAAAATTAAATCAAGAATGTTTCGATTGGCCCTTTCAAATTTTAAATTTGCCATCCTATATAGTGATCAGAAACCAATTGACCCATTTTGAAAAATTTCAACACTGAAGAAATGAAGAAATTGATAATGGTTTTCACTAGAAAATGATAAAGGTATTAACCTTGGAATTATAACTCGTTGTGATTGAACCATTAGTGATTTTTCGACCATCTAATACGATATGATTCAAGATAAAATCAGTTTCACTTGAAAAGTTCTGCAATATCAGCTTCAGGAAATATTTTAAAGGAACTTTAAAAATCAAACTTGAAAACAAAAAAATATAAAAACATAAACAACCATAAATAAAAATTTTTGTTAAAACCACAATAATGCCATTAATAATTACGATAACAATTTATAATAATGATAATGTAATAATAATAATACTAATAATTGTATGGTTCGACACCTCCTAACTTTTTAAAGAATTTTTTAAAATCTCTTCTATAATTACGTACACAATTGGCAAGGCCATATATTATATATATATAAATTGTTGGTTTATTCTTATATAGTTTAATTTATAGCAAAATTTATTGTTGCCATTCATGGCGACTATTCTGTAGTGGTTTAAGAAAGCTGTACTGCATCGTTTGTCAATTTTTAAATTTTTTTAAATTTCAATTTTTAAATTCTAATCTTCGAATTAAAATAGCGCTATATAATAATAATAATAATAATAATAATAATAATAATAATAATAATAATAATAATAATAATAATAAACTTAATAATACTTAATTTTCATTTCAGACGCTGAAATTATTATTTTTTTAATGCTATTCCTTTACAAAATCAAATTTTTTATCTCTTCTATAATTACGAAAAATTTGAATATTTTTTGGAAAAATACTAATTAAATATTTATGATTGGTTTTATCTACAATGAAATATTTAAAAGCAAAATAAAAGAAGGAAAGGGATAATTTACACTTCAGAAAGTTTTTAAATCCAAAATTTTTGTGAAATTCGTTGTGATTATGATTACATTGTAAAATTACTAAAATAAATTACTTTCAAAATCTAACTTTATACGGAGGAATGAATATGGCATATGGTTTGCTATTGTTTTTGATATTCCGTTCTATCAGATCCAAAAAATTTTCGTCTGAAGGGATCATTTTTTCTCGCCAATCCATAACTACAAAAAAATTTTTATTAATCTTGGCTTATGAAAAGTGACCGAAAAACATCTGCAATTTTGTAAAATTATTATTATTTGTTCATATTATAGAGGTATGGGAAAAATTGGGCTTCTTCTGGTGCACTAATCTTCTGTTAAAGTTACTGTGGTATTTTCGAAACCATTGCTTTATCATATTTAATCTTAATAAAAATAGAATTATTAATATCATGTTGTGATAATTCCGTTAATGTTCATTAGAGAATAATATTAAAAGGCGTTAAAGCGTTACATTCTTTGGATAAAATGATATCATCAATAGTGTGGATAATTCCGTTCGATGCAATCCGATTTGATCCAAACAAGCGCGCATTGCCAACTCTTTTGAAAACAGTACCATTTATAACCTAAATCGAAGAAAACACAGCTTAAAATTCTCAGCTAATCTGATGGATATGGAATGGATTTTGTGACTATTTTTGACTTATAAAATATTTTAACCTTTGTTGATATGTTGTGAGTAATTCCGTTAATCGCTTTCAGCCATTTGCGTGAATTTGATAAGCAAATAATGCTTTCATAAATATGATTTTTGATTACATCTGCAAAGTACGTTTTCATCAACAATTAATTAATTTTAAATCAAGTAAGAAATAGCTTGACACTCGCCATTCCAATCAAAATATCTATGCTAATTGTAAGAACAGTTAGAAATTTTTCTAGAATAACTTGGCGATAGATCACCACCATTACCCTGATTTTTTAATAAAAATTTATTCTGCGGGAATCAAACCTCTGATTCTCGATGTAGATCAAAGAAAATCAAGCATTTGACTGTCCCTTTCAATTAATTATATAATTAGTAAAGCGATTATCCAAGAAATAACCTTTTGCGCATCCTCTTCTCATTTTGCTTTGTAACGATGGTGATAATGAGGAGAAAATCGAGTTTGTGAAAGCAAAAACAGTCACAGCATCTGTCGAATTGAGCAGTTTTATGGATTGTTTATCAAGTACTAAAGAACTATTCTTTTTAAGGTAATGAAGCACTACTAATATGTTGTTCGATCTAAAAATAGCCAAATGAAAATTACATTCAACAAACGAAGAAAATTGCTCGTCTGCTGATAATAATTCCAAGACAGTTTGTGCTGATGTTGTTAATGGCCATCGAAGCTGATAGATTATTCCGTTGTTCGCTATAATTTCTTTTTCGATTTCCACACAATTTAGAGTTGGCAGCTTAAAAGCTAAGATTAACTGGAATAACAATAAAATTAAACAGGATAAGGGGACCAATAGGTGCTGAATATGCTTATGAGACATAAGAGTACGAATTGAGGATAAGAGAATTAAGGGAATATAATGAGAAAAGGAAGCAACACAACGCAATAATTAGAAAATAATCCATAACCACCGCATTCACGTCAGCATGTTCCTCAACGAATATTGAGTGATTGTTGAGTAAACGTAATAACTGAGAATCCAATAAATCATGTGCGTGGATTTCATCATCAATCATATAATCACTGAGGCTCAGTATATTTTTTTCAGTCTAAATTGATATTTTAAATATTTCGCTTCACGAATATTATTTTAAGTTCATATCAACTAAAAATGGAAAAAAAACCGAGCAATATCCCGAACGCGGTACAAGTAATGTGGTTTTTTTTAGTCGTTCTAACCCAATTTCACTTCTATTTAAACATGAATTTTCTTTTATAAGCCATTCCGCAATACTTGGAACATTTTCTTCTGAAAAATATTTGGTATTCTTTAAAATTAATTGCTGAGGTCGTAATGGCCGAGGGCTATATTATTTTCACTGAGGCTAAGCATCATATATTCAATTTCTGTTGAAGAGATTAAGCCTGACATCAGAAAAGGTCCTGGGGATCCAGACTTTTATTATTTTCAGATTATATCTCTTTAGTGAAAAGATTTCAATACCACTCAACCACTGAACCAAATTAGAATCTGTGAGTGCTGCTAGAAAAAAAAAAAAAAATTAGTCTTCCAACAAAATTTTTTAAAACTATTCTTTGTAAACAAAATTTTATAGAATCGAACCGCTGGAGCATCCTTCCTTAATATCATTCGTTTTATAGCCTTTACAACATTGAACAGTACGAATAATGGTGAAATTTCCATTTGTGACGATGCAACGATTAGCATTTTTATAAATTTTGCAGCCTGGTGTAGGTCGGTTTTTACTAATTAATTGTTTAATTTCATGGACACATACATGTTCACTGAAACAATTTTTTTTGACAATTACTTTATTAATTACTTTATCTTAGATTATCATATCAGGTGGACTGATTATATTCCATCTGATAATAATTTGTGGACTAAGCGTTATGGGTTCGATTTCTGCTAAAAGTATAAGAAAAACGTTATAGAAAAACCAGTTCCTTTGATCTAAATCACTAATTATTCACAGTAACATGATAGATTAATTAACCCTAATATGAATGCCTGGTCGTGCTCTACACGATTTTTTTCGGTAGTATATTTTCGATTTTCAGTTTGACCATGCAAAAATTCCATCATCTGATCAAAGATCGCTTCGGCCTGTATGTATATAATTTTCAATCATTTATGAATTTTTTCAGCTTTTGATGATTTTCTTAACTATTTCAATTAAAGGTGAAATTTGTAGAAATTTTGAAAATAATTTTGCAAATGAGAGAATCTTTATCTGAAATTTTCAAAATTATATTAATTATTTCACAAAACTAACGTCAAAAGTCGGATCATAATCATTTTCGGATTGTATATGCGCCATGCGATTGGCCACATTTTCATTCGAATCAGGTTTACGAAGCCCAGAAAATGAGTGCTGAATAATTCTAGAAACTTATAATTCCTAACATTTAATAATATTAATAATAATATTAATATAATAATAATTTTAATAAATTTCACAAAATATCTATTTTTGAATATCTATAATAAATTGAGGTTTAAAGCAGTATTCAAAGCCCAATCCCTTCCTCACTCAGGTTGTCAGATTAATATGTGCAGTAATATATACCCAAGAGATTCGAAGAAATATTCAATAAGGTTATCCGATGTTGCTCTCTCCATATATAAGTTTTGCAAATTCCAGATTTGCGATTTGTGAATTTCATTTTGATTTTGCACAATTATTTTGACAAATATAAAAATAAAACTTACGAAAATCGCCGTAGGATAATTGATAAGTGAATAATATGGACGATTTATATCATTACTCGATTCTGTATGAAAATCAAAAAGTGGATGAAGAGAATAGATTCCATTGTCGAAATTACCGAAATCTAGAAGGAAGGCGAAAAAAACGAAAGAGACTAAAATATTTAATCCTACCATCATCGCCGTAACTATGTAAAATAAACGCAAATTAGAGATCAACAAACCTTTTCATGGCCACAATTTCTCTTCTCGCATGGAACGCAAATCTATTTCGATTATTAATCATTTTCATTTCGGTTATTGATATGAAAGTTATCTATAATGGTCTCCCAAACTGTTAAATTTGCAAAAAATTTGTTTAAATTACAATTTCTTAAATATGGTATCTATGGACTTGCAACTTATTAACTCTAAGGTTTTTTCCTCTATTATTTCCGAAACATTGTAAATGATATTAGACACCACTGTTGATTTAATACTACTGTTATTATTATTATTATTATCATTTATTATTATTATTATTTTATTATTATTATTGTTATTATTATTATTGTTATTATTATTATTGTTATTATTATTATTGTTATTATTATTATTGTTATTATTATTGTTATTATTATTATTATTATTATCATTATTATTATTATTATCATTATTATTATTATCATTATTAATTTCACTTTCGTTGTATTTGTGCATAGCATAAACATACACATAGCAAATATCTAAAATATCTAAATCTTCCAATTTTTGATAAATTAGTTTGCAATAAAATGGTTAAATAAGTACGTAAAACTTGATTTTCATTAACGTACGATTGTCAATATTTAACTGAAAATTCATCTCTTATAATGTGGAATAATTAAATTACAAATTACAATGATTACAAAAAAATATGCTCATTCAAAGAAATTTTTTGAAAAAGGACAAATGTTTTTCCATTTGGTCCATCATTTTTTTAAATTTATAGTAAATGGAAATGTCGACGTTTAGCTTTGATAATATGTTTGAATAAGATTGCCAAAGTTTGGAATAAATTTCCTAGAGCGACTTGATGCAAAAAATCCTTTTAGATAATCTTTATTGTACATAACTTGTTATTTTTTCAGCACGATTAAAAAACCTTTCTCACCCCCAAGTGGGTCATCCTCGATCTCAGGTCCTCCACCAAAGGTCTGGAGGCTTGAAGGTTCTGCTCACTCTTCTTAGCAATGCGTCATGGGTAGATGCTACTTTGATGGCTTTTTAATTGTTTCAATTGAAAGTGAAGTTTGCAGGAATTTTGGCAATGAGAGAATCGCTATTTGAAATTTTTAAAATCATATTAATTATTTCACAAAACTAACGTCAAAAATCGGATCATTTTTGGATTATATATGCGCCATTAACTGTTTATTTTCCTGGACACAAACAAGAAACAATTATTTCACTGAAACAATTTTTTTTTTGATAATTGCTTTATTTATTTTTCAGATTATTATATTAGGTATATTGATTATATTCCATGTGAATGATGTTATGGATTAAGCGTTATGGGGGTGATTCCTGCTAGGAGTAAGCCAATAAATCTGGTGTTTTTATTCTACTATGCCTTAGTACTGCCTTTTAGTCCAGCTTTTCCAATCACTGATAGGATTTCTCAATGTTAGCCATCTCAGCTATCTGTTGGTGGTATTTCCTATAGGAGGCCTTGCTTTACTATGGTACTTCCTCCGCTTAGTCTTTGGTCTCCAATGTTTGCAGGTGTTTACCCTTTGGTGCCATTGTTGATATATTCTTGAATGCTTCGCATTTGTTCAAGACAGTAGCTTTGACTCACCAAGCTTCATCCTTCTTTTCGACTGATGAACAATAATTTAGTGTTGAGCGATTTGGGGTGGAAATTTCCATATGAGGAGATTCCGGATCGGTATATTGTAGTGTCCATGGTATATTTTTATGATATGACTTCGTTTTTCCCATTGAGCTGTTTAATCAAGATCTATCTTATTCTTTAGAAATAGTTACATACAGCCTTTTTCGCCTCTTAATCGTGTTCAAGTGGCTACGGGATAACGGAAGTGGGCGGAAAGATACTTCCAGCTAGCCTGTAAGTCCGCAATATGCCCCACTAAATAATAATATGTAATCATTGTTATTCTTCTAGCAGTCAGCTAGTTTTTTGGTTCTATTTCTGGTTCAACTGGCTATTTAGACGAGATTCTTTCGCCAGACAGTCACTTGCAGATAGAATTACACGTGGATTCCAAAAACTACTCAGATTTCACCTTCAATCACATCAAGGCCAACGAACTGCGCGACAACAAAGTAGCGCGTACAATTTCGTGATAATTGTTTTCAAATAGATCTATGAGGAAAATTTTAGAAGGATGATGTGTTGAATACTACATATGTGAAATAATTCGAACCTTTTAACAGATTTTTTAAATTTTAAGTTTTTAAAAAAGTTTTCAAGTAAAAAAATCCCGTTCATTCTTTATATTTATTATTTATGACAAAATTAAAAGCAAAGACAGAAAAAAAGTGGTGGCAAATCTTTCGTGGTACCACCGTATCGACGCCTGGTAGAAAAGATTAGTTTCAGCTCCCAGTTCTTCACTACGGCCTTACCTCCTTTCTACTGTTGGACAACACCTGGTATAAAGCATTTTTCTACTCGCTTAATGCCTGAGGTGACGGATAGGCCAAAAGCGACTTTTCATGATTCGTCCTTCATTTTCATAAGTAAAAGTTATTGCTTCAGCGCAAATTGAGTTATATTTGAAGATGAAGTAAATTTCTAAACGCTGAAAATCCGGACCACTGAATTTCGAACGAACAAGGATATTATTTATTTATTTGTAATAACTGGCTGCCACTCTTCTTGCTTTCACCGCAACCTATAGTTGTTTTCTGCTGTATTTTACATTTTTCGATATTGCTGTTGAGAACAGCTGGAAATGGAAAAGAAGCACCATCTCACCCGCTACCACAAACGCCAAACACGATAGAATCGTGGACAACGCGGAAGAGGTATTGTCATCAGAACACGCACGCTTCAGAGAGCAACTGCGTTTAGGCTTTAAAACTCCACCGCAACATCCAACGAATTCATAGTTAAGGGCATTTCGGCGAGCGTGCAACGACACTTCGGTAAGGGTGAGGGGTAAGGGTACTCGCTGGTTTGTGGCGAATGGGGTCGGGTGAGTGCATATTTTACATTTAACTGGGTGTCGTAGTTGTTATCAAAAGGATGGTAATAATTCAATGTTGGATTAAATTGTCTATTTTTTTATTTCACTTTTATTTTATATTAGTTTATTTTTTAAATATTTAGTAGAATGTCACAGCTAATATGTTATAATAATAATAAACAGTAATAATGATAACAACAATAGTTGCGGTGATAAAATAGTTGTAACAGCAAAAATAGCAATAAATCGTAATGACCGAGCATAATATGTTTTTATGATTATTATTGGTTAAAGTTTTTATCGATTTTTCGTTGTTTTTCACCGTTCTTGTTCCCCATATTTACTTTTGTTTTGGAAATTGATCTCTTTATTCATAAAATTATCAAAATCTCAAAAATAAATAAGATTTTATTTTAATGAGTCATTGCTATTTGCTAATGGAATTTTCTGATGAGAACAACTGAAGCAAATTGGGAAGAAAACAGTTTAGCGGCTTAAAAGAACATAAATCTCTATCTTCTTCCAGATCCCAGATTCTTCAATCTCTTATCAGTTGATGTTTTTCCTTTCCCTCTTTTTTTCCTTTATTTCGCCTTTAGATCCCTTTCATCATCATCTATATTTTATGTTTCCACCATTTTTTTATCATTTCGTTCGAACATATACATACTACTCATCTTTCGGTGCCGACTTCAGTTATTGTTATAACCTTTGTTGGGAATGAAGACATTGTAGAAGGTAATATTGTTGAACAGAAACGAAAAAATGGGGACTCAACTTGGCCATTGGCGTACATATTCACAATGTAATACAATATAATTTTTTTTACCAACACAATTTTGTAATTTTTATTTCTTCTGACATGCTTTTCACCTATTTAAAAGGATGCATAGTATAAAAAATCATTTCACCAAAAAGTAACATAAGCATGGTCAGTTATCAAGGTCAGTTACTAGACCAAAATCAACTGGGCATTTTCAAATATGAAAACCAATATAAAAAAATTGGCTCATATATTCATCTGCAAATGCGAGTGTGCACCTAAATATCTTCACATTCTTAAGCCTACATTGTTTCCACGTTCGTTTTTTTTCTCCATTTTATTTCGATAAAATTTTCCATTTCCCTTCATATATCCTTAGTATCCTCATTTTTGTTCTCATCTTTTTTTATATTGGCCATTCTTTGTATGAACAGATCTGAATATACAGTTTTTATAAAAGTATTAATATTAAATTAGAAACCTATTGTAAATTCAGAAAGAAAAAAATTTAAGAAGATAAAAAGGAATAGTTTTTTAATAGAAAAAGTAAACCGCATAGAAAATATGGTAAGCAAAAAAAATAGTTCATAAGATAAGATTTTGATAAGATGCATTAAAGGGCTTTATTAATTGATTTAAGGTCAAATATAGCGATATTTCAGATCAGATGAGGTACCATAATAGGGTCTGTTTAGGAATGACTAAAGAGCAAATTATTATTTCTTAAGAGATCACAGAAGAGGAAGGTTTAAGAAAAGGCAATGAGAAAATATAATTTGGTTTAGAGAGGTTCAGAGTCTTCTAGAGGTTATTAATGGGTTTGAGATTAAAGCAAAGCAGAGGTATCAAGGGAAGGCGACGAGTTTAAGTGGATTATGGCTGAATATAAATTACTTTGGTGGAAAAAAGATATAAATTTCTGAGAAAATTGTTCGAGAAGTCCGAAGGGACAACGAGGGTATTTATGAGTATTTTCGAATGGATTATTGCAAAAGCTAGGTGTTTGGCACGGATATTAATTTAAGCTTGGAGCCTTATTTTTTCTAACAAGTCGAATAAAATTACATGCATCTTTTTGGTGTTTATTTTGAGGAAATGAGTAAGAACGTGCTTTTCCATGATGAAACTTGGTTTCTCAACATTTTTGTCTTATAGGCTTCTTTTTTAGTGGTCTGTTTTTATGATTGAAGAATTCCTCAAATTAATGTTTTTAGTGCGTAGAATAGAACAAAAAAAGTATTAACTGTGAAAATGTATGATAAGAAAATGCTTGCAATTTTTGTTAATGAAAAAATCACAGATAGTGCCAGTGCTAGCTAGTATTTGCATTTTTTAATTAGACTTTGTTGTAAAATTTTTTTCCTCTTGCGGGCCTGAGACATATTGCTAAATGTATCTGTGGGCATTGAATTATTTGCCCTTGCTTTTGACCAATGTTCCTAATCCCATTAAATTTCTCAAAGTTTCAGCCTTAAAGTCTCAAAGTTCAAGTAATTTTAATCAGTGTTTCAATTTTTTATGAGTTCATTGTTCAGTTATTTCAGATGACGAAGGGAACGTCTTCGTTTGGCAAAAGGCATAACAAGACTCATACGTTATGTCGTCGATGTGGACGATCATCCTATCATATTCAAAAGCACCGATGTGCATCATGTGGTTATCCAGCAAAACGTAAACGTACCTTTCAATGGTCAGTTAAATCCATTCGACGTCGTACAACTGGCACTGGACGAATGAGACATTTGAAAGTCGTTCATCGTCGTTTCCGGCAAGTTTTTTGATTTTAAAGTAAAATTTTTAAAATACTCAGTGATTCATAGAAATTAATTAAGTTCTTCGCTTGTTAATTAGTTTTCTCTGGAAATCTCTAGAGGTTTCGGAAACTTGTTCCATTTATGGCATTTTTTTAATTAGAATTTGATTTAGGTTTGTTTGGGCCCTATTCTACTATCTTTTTCTGGCTTTTTTTGTTTCAGTGGTTCCTTTTCTCCTCAGGAATTTTCTTCTCATGAAATTTTATTCACTTCAGTTATCTTTGGTCAATTACAGGAATGGTTTTCGTGAAGGAACGATTCCAAAATCTAAATCGCGAGGTGCCAACCAAAAAGTCGATGCAGTAGCGACAAGCTAAATTTTTTATTATCGTGGTTCTCAGTTTAATTCTAATTCCAATGTTTTTTTTAAAATAAATTTTAAACCTCAATTGTGAGGAAGAAAAAGAACTCAGAAAAACTCATTATCATTGTAGTATATACTAGAAACGAAATAATTTAAAAATATGTGGCTTTTAAAATCCCAAAAGCAGAGGAATATATCTTTTAGCATTACAAATTTAGTAATGGCTGGTTTTAGAAATTTATAACTTTTCTCAGTCCATTATTTTCCAATATTTTTATTATGAATTTCTTGGTGATTTCAACTGATGGAAGTAGAATTCTGGATTAATGTTCCTGAGATTTATCTATCGTGTAATGAATGGTTGTAATTTATAGAAAATGACTATAGTAAGGTTACGGGTGTGAAATAATTTTAACAAAATAGACTTATTTTTATCCATTTTGAACAAAATACAAATTTTATGCGTGCGAAATATAATTTATGCATATATAAGTTTCCCACTAATTTATGTTATATGTGAATATTAATTCTATAATATTAACAGTAATTCTGAAGGTGAAATTTCTTATGTTACATTGTCTATGATTTATAATGATCTATCCATGACCACGTCCTTGTTCTGAGATAAATTATAGATTTTTGATCCATAAATTGATTTTCGATTTCAAATTATTCTTTGAGGAGAGCGCTCGGAAATGATCAAATGCGTGTAAGAAATTAAAATTTTCCCGCATTTGCTAATTGTTTAGGAATGGGAATAAAATGTATGTTGCTGCTGTACTATTATTCACTGGGTTAATATTTTCTAGTTTGATTTTGATAATCCTTTTTCTAAATAATTGCAGTAGCGACAAGCTAAATTTTTTATTATCGTGATTCTCAGTGAATCCTTTTTCTAGAAAATTGACAGTCGCCAGAAACTATTCATGAGTGAAAAAAATAAAAAGCGCAAGCCTATATTAGTGTAAAAAAACTTTAAAATACATACATGGTCTAATTCTTCAATTTTTCGGATGGAAATCGCATTTTGTTCCGTTATAATCGAAAATTCCAAGCGAGTAACCATAAGGGAAATATTAAGTCTACCGTTTTTTCAAAAAAATTGGAAAAGTTTAATTGGCAATTTAATTTAATTGTGTGGAAAAAGCTGTAAAATAGTAGAATAAAGAATTTATAATGGAACGAGAAAATTTCAATTTCCATTTTAAAAAATTCTCGCCATTTCTCTTTAAATACTTCAAAGGATTTGGTTTTTTTTAACCTAAATTATTGAAAACAAAAGGGCAAGAAATCCACTGAATGATTTCGATTAATTCCGTTATTCGATGTGGCATTTCATTTTATATGAAACAATAGAATATTTAACAGGTTGAGAGGTTCAGTGACTCGAGGATTACTCTTAAACAATGTCGTACAAAGTTCTATTTATTTATTGAAAACCAACCAAGCAAAGCGACAGCGCCATTTGCTTGTATTAATAACAACAGTTAAAAAAAACAATAAAATTTAATATAAGAAAAAAAGAAAAAAGTAATAAAGAGGAAATTGCAGAATAATATAATTATATATAATTATAGTATAATATATATAATAATATAATTATAGTACAATTCGAAGTAACTATATTATATATATATATTCGGATGGTAAAAATCGAGATTTCACACTTCCTGCATAATATGAACTTTTTAAATAATATCGTAAATGATATTATCTAATCTTTTTTTAAAGATAGCTAGGGATGGCGCATAAGCTGTATCATTCGGTAATTTGTTCCAGTAATTAATAGTATAAAGAAATCAAAGAAATAAAGAATAAAGAAATCATGAATTCTTAGTTTAATTATAAATTTTAGTAATTTTAGCCCATCAGTTCTTGTTGGATTTAAATTTGGTCTAAAATTGTAATATTTTGAACAATCTAGTTTAACATAACCATACAGAATCATATAAGTATAAATTAAATCTTGTTTAATACGACGAATTGACAGAAAATACAGGTTATATTGTAGAAGTTTTCTTTTATGTATAAAATATTTATGGAGTTTTTCAATTATTTTACTTAATTTAAGATATCTCGGGGAGTAACATGTAGTCAAGAAGTGGCCGAATATACGCTTTGTACATTTTGATAAGAAAATCTTTAGTTTTATTCTTAAACGAAAAAAAAATAAAATTTAGTATTTTTGAGGATTTCTTTACCATGATTCTGCAGTGAAGGTCGAGATCGAGATTTTCATCCATGATTATTGCAAGATCAGAAATATGTGAAATTCTACTGATTATATTGCCATTAATAATAAGACTAAAAAAACGAATCCTTTAGAATTGATATGTAGAACGCTACACTTTTGAAAAGAAAGGGTAATTTGCCTATCATTTATCCAACTGGCTATTCGGTTGATGTGGAGATCCTGCAGTGGAGATAGGCTATCTGTTCTACCATGAGAATAATAAATTTTACGATTATCAGCATAAAATAGTAGAATTTAATACCACATTGGTGATATCATTTATATATAGAAAAAGCAATGGCGCAATACGACTACCTTGGGGAACGCCAGATTTTACAGGTGTCAGAAAGAATCATATATACAGTCTAATGATGACCTTCTATGTAATTTAACATGCAGTTATGCAGGTCCTCTGTAATGCCATAACTATTAAAAGTGATCAATAATTTGCTATTGGAAACAGTATCAAAAGCTTTAGCCAAATCTGGGTACACAACTGGTACTGTTTTTCCTTTGTCAATTGATGCTGACCAATCGGAAAAATTTGCCAATATTCGTGAAGTAGATTTTTTTTGTACAAAAGTCATGCTGATGAGAGGATATAAAATTATTGGCATCAAGATAAATAACCAATTTTTTGTCAACCTTTCGAGTACCTTGCTACCAACGTATGTTAAGTTAATAGGTCTAATTAGAAGGGTCATAGGTGCTTCCTTTTTTATGAATGAGAATTATATGAGACAACTTTAAAATTTTGAGATTAAGGCCAGATTTCATAATGCCCTTATAAATTAAAAATTAAATAGTGGAAGACTCAATGAAACTGCAAATTTTTTATAAATTATTTGTGGAATACTATCGGGACCAGCTGAAATGGGCGACTTAAGTCTATTTAAGGTATCATAAACATCCAGTAGTGTTATTTCAACCTCATCGAGAGAAGTGCAACAAATTCGATTTACGTTAAAACAAAAGTATGAGTATTATCCTCAACAAATACACCAGAAAAATATTGATTAAATACACTTGCAATATCAATGTCAGAGGTGATCACATTATCATTATATTGCAAAATTAATTGCTTATGTGGATTTGCAAATTTTTTTGACTCAGAGAAACTGCACATTTTTTATAAATTATTTTTTTCGAGTTTGGGAAAACGTAAATCCATATGCGAATAGGCAGCTGATTCGATACTATCTGATGAAATATCAATGAGAATTTTTTGGAATATGAGTTACCAAACTTCTTCCCGAACTGTGGGCTTATAATTTACGAATGTATAATTCTAAAATTCTGCAATTCTGTAAAATGAAGTATGCTATAATAACTAAGAAATAAGCTTATTGTTGCTTTATGCAACAAATAATATATCGATTCTTGAGAATTTTTTAAGTATTTTCACATCCTTCCATACTATATTGAAATAAAGAGGGGTACGGTGGAAGAATAATATCTTCCGTTGACTGAGGTCAACTGTTTATTGCTGCCGTAAACCTGGCATTTTTAATCCAAGCCCAAATGGTTGCAGTGCAGTGCCTATCTGTTGCACTCCTATATACAAGTGACTCTCCGGTAAAAAGGTTAGCCTAACAGTTGACAAAGCAGGTCAAACGAGAAATGCTGAGTAAATGTTTATAAGAGAATAATTATAGATTTAATGAGGTAAATTGAATTCAGTAAAGTTTTAACCGTATGAGATCTTTTGAATTGAATGACAGTTGAAAAGAGTTAAAAAAATTCTTTAATAAAAAGTCATCCATTTTAAATAATTCCTTTGTTTAGAAACGAAACAAACTAACCTTTTTATTGAATTCATACTTGTTTCTTTTCACCTTTTGTTTTTAAATATTCTAATTTCGAGTTGCAAAATCAATGAAAAATTGTTGATGATTTAATATTACGTAAACTCTGGAAGAAATTCTTTCAGAAAATCTCACTAATTGCGAGATTACTTAATCATAAGAAATGGTGAAAATAATGGATTTAAGTATAAAATAGAAACGTTGATCGTTGTCATATCTCATAATTAATTAATTGAGCTATTAAATTCCTTTTTCGAACAGTATTTCATTATTTCTGCTTTACTAGCTCCATTTATTATCAACATTAATGCAGAGAGTTATTTGGAAATAGTAGTACAAGTGTGGTTCCCAACACCATAAAGCTAAGAAATTAGCCGTATGTTTCCAGGGCAAGGAATAGTATAGCGCACAATTCATGACAACATGTTTTCTTCGGCCTTATTTTCGTAGCCTTAAAGGCAGAAGGCTTTTCCAGTATTTATAATTTATCTATTTTCAACTTAGTCAATTATGCAGCTTATTGGTCTTTAAAGGAAAAAAAATTTTACCATTCCTTCAACGAAAGACGCAATCGTTACCACTCATTCTAGTGTCCGAATGTATTATGTTGCATTAACATATTCGTCTCGAATAAAATTGAATAATGCTCCTAAAAATTCGATCAAAAAGAATACGTGGAATTACATACCACATCAACGATGATTTCTCTCGAAAATATATCGATTGCCACTCACATTAATCCTAGTTTCGCGAATTCCGGATTTGTGATTGCAATTTACGAGTTCATAATTTTGTACTTACTTACTTTCTTCTTTCTTCTCGAATGAAATTCACATTGATGATTTCATATGCCTATTACTCAAATAAAAAAGTGCTTCTGATTAGTTATCATGATGAAAGTTGTTTATTAGTTTATAAGCGATTACTCGTAACCGGCTTGAAATGTGAAAAATTGCAATTATTATTACTATTTTT